CGATCGAAGGTATTGCAATAAGATGCCTAGTCGATACTACGTTAGGTGGCCTTAAAATGTTTGGAAATTTTCGTGCCGTAGGACATTAGAAAAACCAATCCTTATAAAAACACGTTTTCCATCCGAACTTATATCAGAAGAAGTCACTGTAATACTACTGTGGAATTTGAGAGGGAAAACGAAACAATGTCTATAAAACTATTAAATTTAAAGAACAAGCCATTCCATTGCATAATCGGACTAAATATTCTTACCCCCCTAAACTTTCTAATTGATTTTTCACAACAAGTAGTACATGTCAACAACAAATTAATTCCGTTTGCTAATGATAATGTTGCAAGTTATTTTTCTTATAACGATAAATTTAATGCCTTTTGTTCTCAAATCAGATTTTTTAATGGTTTACATTGAGTATCAATCATTATTCTATAATTAATTATTTAAAAGAAAAAAAAAAAATCACGGAAACTTGCACGGAGTCGCCAGTTATTATTTTTTTCGCTCCTGTCACGGGTGCTTTTGCCTTCATGCCGCGTGCCGCACGGACTCGTAGCGAGCGTAATGCAACCAGAACACGCAAAAAAAATAAAATTTATTTATAAACATAAGCATCGAATATTTAGTACAATATTTTTTAAAGTTGTATACATAAATATGTATTTATGTATTTATGCATGTATTTTGTCTTTACAGAGAAAAATAAATAAAGAGGATAGATAGTAAGTATAATCGTTTGTGCCGCAGAAACAAAAAACAACTAACCACTTTCTAACACCCCCAAAATATTTGCTACTTGTAGCAGTTATGCTGTATACCTGATAAAATATAATTCTTGGGGAAAAAATGTATTTGCGGACTGTTGTTCAAGGTCATGTCGGGGGAGTGACTACAGGACTGATGAATCGGTAGCTACCTGGTAAGCTCCGTCAATTACCGACTGAATACTTGCAGTGTATTTCATCGATTACTTTTACAAGGCCTAGGCGGTAGTCACCATCGACTCCCTCTGTACTACCGGGAGTTACTAAAGTGGTCACTTGCGTGATTTATGGGCGCCGTCTGTCGTAGTTTTTCGCTATTCTGCTTCCGACTGGTTTGACTCTGCACTACCAGGGGTTAATAGAGTAGCTACTTACCTAGGAGTCGGTGCGGTAGCGGTTCAAAACTACTCTCCAGTACTGCTGGGGTCAATCGCTACTTTGAAGCGAAAGGGTAAGCGATTCCCATCGCCCAGCTCGTTTCCACTTTCGTTTCTGTCGTAATCGTGTTTTTTGCTGGGAAGTAGCAAACTATTTTAGGGGTGTTAAAAAGTGCTTAGTTGCTTTTTGTTACTGCGGCACAAACGATTATACTTACTCTCTAACCTCTTCATTTATTTTTCTCTGTAAAGACAAAATACATGCATAAATACATACATACGTTCATATCAGCGTGGGCCGAAAATCCGCTTTTTTAGAACATTGATTTGTAATAGCAAAAATATGGTTCATTATGCTCTAAAAACCATCTGTGTGAAATAAAAAATTGTTTGGTCCTAGGGTCGCCCAAGTCCATCAAAGTTCAATATGGCCAAAAAATAAAAATTTATAAATAAATTTAGTAATACATTGTTTTACTAAAATTGCAATAATCTTCTTAAGTATTAGTCCTCCATAATTAGGTTTATGGACCTTTTTTGTAGAGAATCGAAGTTAGCTAAGAAAAAATTTCTTTGAGTACTTGAACTTTGATGGACTTGGGCGACCCTAGGATATTTACCAAAAACTATCACATTTCACACAGATATTTTTTAGAGCATAATGAACCATATTTTTGCTATTACCCATCATAATTCTAAAAAGCGGATTTTCGGCCCACGCTAGTACGTATATAAATATGCATGTTATGTATGCGCATTAGAGCGGTCCAATTTTTGTATTGGGAACAAATTTTTCATCCTAGATATTTGTAATACCTATACCAACTTTTAGTTTTCTACTGCAACCAATACAGGGTGCCTTGAAATGCGCCCCTATATCGCCGTGAAACTGGCAAATATATTAGTGAGTTTTATAAAAAATTCTGTTGCCATGACAACTGAAGCTTGTGCGATTTTTTTTAGATAATTTAAATTTGAAATGTTCTTAGGATACTTAACCAATTGTTTGATTAATATATGTATGTACACTAGAGTGGTTCAAAAAAAGTTTTTTTTGGAAATTCATAAACGCTACCTCAAATTATTGTTATTTGTGATAAAGGAAGGGAAACGTGTTTTTTTATTTTGAAAAAAAAAAGTTTTCTTAGAGGTCGCGGTTGTCGGTTTTTTATAAAAAAGCTGATGTTCTCAATTTTTTTATATTTTAGCTAAACATTTGGTTTTAACGTATAATTACTCTAGTATTATTGGGGAACATTCCCTTAATTACATACCTGTCTTGGGCAGTTAGAATGGGTCTAGTGCCCGAAAATATGCTCTGGAAAAGAGACTAGTAAAATTAAAACGTTGATACTGAACGATTTACGCAATGTCATGGGTTGGAACTTGTTACCAGGGGGTTTCTGGGGTTGCTAATTACGAATCTGAAGACAGTTTTTCGAAATTCAAAATGGTGGATCTTTTCGAGAGCATATTTTCGGGAACTAGACCCATTCTAATTGTCCAAGACAGGTGTGTAATTAAGGGAAAGTTCCCCAATAATGCCAGAGTAATTATATGTAAAAACAATATTTTTAGCTACATGTTAACATGTCAAGAAAATAAAAAAATTTAGAACATCAGCGTTTTTATAAAAAACCGACCAGCGCGACCTCTAAGAAAACTTTTCTTTCAAAATAAAAAAATACGTGTCTCTTTTTTTATCACAAATAACAATATTCTTATGTAGCGTTTATGAATTTCCAAAAGGACTGTTTTTATGAACCACTCTAATGTACACAATGCTTCTAGAGTAAAATATGAGCATCA